TCCACCAGCCGAGTCCGGAGCGACATCAGCTCCTGTCGATGTCTGCATTGTTCGACCACCATCAAATCTTGAGCTCTCTCCAGCTCCTCCCGGAGATCCTCCACCCCCTCCTTCACATCGTGTAGTTCACTCGACACAGCATCAGAATGCTCACGGGCTGCCTCAAGAAGGACGCCGGCCCATTCAGCTGATGCCTCCGCAGTCCGCCCTCGCAGCTCCAGCGAGTGACAGACAGCTCGAGCGTCTTCTATCAGCATACCACACCTTTCTCGCCAACACTGATGCATTCCTATGGCACTTGATGAGTGCTCATCCTCAAGCGCCTGGAGATTGCCAAGCGCATCGCTTAAAGTCATGGATGCCGCCTCTCGAAATCGTCCCTCCAACTCCTTAGCCGTCATCGACGACTTCTCCCGGACTTGACACATCTCCTCCAGCAACTCCTTGTTCTTGGCTGTGAGCCGCTCTACTTCAGCTACTCTCGAGGCGACCTCCATCCGAGCCGACTGCGCTATATCGCTGCTCGTGGCAACTTCATCACACATGACCGTCAACCTGCCTTCCAACTCCGCTCTAGCTTCCTCAGTTGCCTCCAGTTTATGACGTAACACGCTGATCTCTTCCTCTCGCGAGCGCAGCTCAGCGCCAGAGTTTTCAACTTCTCCCCGAAGACGTTTACAATCCCTTTCCAACTCCTCCACACGTGATCGAGATTCGTTTGCCGCATCTCTCAGTCTGCGCACCTTGTCAACGACAGGCCCCGGGGAGTCAGCACCCCAACTATCTCCCACAGGGAAACTCATCGCCTTCAAAATGGATCTGAATTCTTCCAACAACCCTCCTGCAGATTCCCGTGCTTGTTCGAGCGCCGAATTGGCACGCTCCAACTGTCGTTGCAAATCTTCACAACGCTGTTGAGAGAGCTTCCGATCGCGTTGCAAACCCTCAGCAGCTCCCTTCAATGCATGACTCAGCTCAGCTGCATCTGACAGGGAGTAGACCGGCCTCTTGTCATCGATTGGAACCCCAAGAGAACTGCCGAGGTCCGCGAGGAGGAGCTGCACTTTAGTCCTCATTTGCATCTCCAGACCGC